AGAATTTCGGGGAAGAATGCAAGTGTATGGAGATTTACTGTGACAATACTTCTTCAATTAAGTTGTCTAGAAACCCGGTGATGCATAGGCGGACAAAGCACATTGACGTGAGGTACCATTATTTACGTGATCTTACAAATCAAGAAGTTGTGAAGTTGGTGTTTTGTGGAACGGGAGAACAAATTGCAGATGTTATGACCAAGCCGGTGAAGTTGGAGACTTTTATCAAGATGCGAAGTCTTCTGGGAATGCAAGCACAAGAAATTTAAACTGGATGTTAGCGTAACATATCCAGTTTAAGGGAGGGATTTGTTGGAATTGAATAAGTCTAAGTCGTTGTTAGCGCTGCGTTTGTTTCGGTCAATAAGGCGAAGTCTTAGGAACTAAGCCATGTTGAATTAGCTTTCTTAGTTGTTGCTTAGTTGTCCTAGTTTTTCTCACTTTCAGTTTGATGCAAGGCTATTTAAAGCCATTTCGATTTCAGATCAATCATCAGAAAAGTATTTCTCAGAAAACCTGCAACTTTTGCTTTACACATATAGCAACTTTAGATACAACAATCAATAGCACTCAGTTAATGTTCATAGATCTGGGTTTGAATTGAAAATCTGGGCTGGGCGACGACGGAGAAGACGAAACGGCAGTGGAGGAAGAAGATGATTAGATCGTATATAAGGAAAAACGGAAAAGAATATTAAGGCTTTGAATGGAAAGCATATAAAAAATGCAGATGAAGCATAAAAAAGTGCAGATCAGAAAAAAACTGTTTGATCTGCATTGATCTGGTCAAAAAAAGAAAGATGGTGAATTTGTTCTGCTTTTATTACTAAAAGATAACAAATTTTTGGTATGCATACAGATCAATTAAATTTTATTATTTATTTTTTGATCTGCAATAAAATGTGTGAATGACAGATTTGTTGCAGATAGATCTACAATTCTATTGATCTGCATTTATACTGCATTTTATCTGCATCCCTTTCCAAACCTAAATTGGGTTTATAAATGGTTTGGTTTATACCTATATATTTATTTATTATTGGAGTAATTGTTACTCCATCTGTTTCAAAATAAGTGTCATTTTGACACTTTTCACACAAATTAAGAAAAGTATTAAAAGTTCTGTTTTACCTTTTATTCACACATAAAATAACATTCTCTTTCTAATTAATACATTAATATAACAGGGTTAAAATAGGATTTTTGTTTAAAAAATTGCATTAGAAATATAAAACGACACTCTTTGTGAAACAAAAATAAAATTCTAAAATGACACTTATTTTAAAACGGAGGGAGTATAATTTTGTAGCAAGTTGGTTGGTGCTCGTTGATTTCAGTTAATAGTAAGGGGTTTGAAACGCAGGTTATTTTCAAATTTTGTTAAAATGTTCCAAACGATGTAGTTTTAGTAAGTTGTACACGTCTATAGATCATAAAACCTGATGGATTGACTTAGGCATGTTAAGCGGGCTGGTCCGGCCTGGCCCGATCCGATAATATATCAGACCTATATTTTGAAGCCCGGTTCGGCCCTAACAGGATTATCAGGCTTTTTAGATAAATAAAATAAACTATAAAAAGTAGTTATTAGAATTAAATCTCAAATTAAATAATCATAATTATAGTTTTATTAATTATAAAAGTAAAACTTTAACTTATAAATTCTAATATCAAATATAATTAAATAAATAAGTAATATAAATAGTAGAAATGGTAGAATCGAGATGAGAATTTTCAAGTTGAATGTATGAGTGCTTTTTAAAACTAGTTTAGTTTGAGCATTGGTCTTTATATAAAGGCACACAACTAAAAGTTAAGATTTTATATTAATAGAAAGTATTAAATTTAAAATTATAAAGATAATTTATTAATAAAAATATTATAAATAAATTATAATATAAAGTACATTGTTTTTTGGGTAAGCTCGAGACCGATCGAGCTTAAGCTCAAATGGGCTTAGTCCGAATGGATTTAGCCCTAAATGGCCAATTTTTTGGGTTTTTATATCAATGCCCAAACTCGGTATTTTTCAGGGCTAGGCCAGGCTGGACTTCGGACTTTGGCCTAAATTGACATCCCTAAATTAATTTGCATTTTTGATAATAAAAGATAGAATTACAAAAAAAAAAAACACTTGGAGTTTTGAATTTCAGAAAAACTTTTTGTTTTTGTATAGATGTTAAATATATATGTTTTGTTTATGTGTATACATATTGTTTATTAAAATATTTTTTATGATTTTTATAATTAAAATTTAAGAACTAATTACATTGTAGTTTTTTATAAAGTATATATTAATTGACTTTATAAATAGACATTTTAATGATAAAACTGCTATTGTGACAAACATTTTTTTTAGTCATAAGAGAGTAAATTATAATTTTACTACCTGAATTAATTTTGCCAAAACATACGATAAAAGATGCATATTTTTAGAAAAATCTAAGTAGTAAGTTATAAAGTGCTCCTAATATCAATAAACATATCACAAACTTTCATGACTCTTCAATTTGAATCCGTGCGTTAATAATGCTTTCTTTGTGATTTGTATTTTGCAGCCAATAAAATCAATTTATCATATGTTATTCAATCATCTTTAATTCGTACTAGGATATTGGTCCGCACGCATGTGCGAGCATGAATAATTTTAAAAATGTAATTATCTAAATACAATACTTAAATCTGTCTTAGATATTTTAATTTTTTGTAGTTTATAAAACTCAAAGTTAGTGTTTTGAATTATAAGACTTTAAATTTAATGGTAAAATATGATGTAGTTTTAACTAAACATTTTGTTATAATAAAAGGTTCATTTATATTTTGAGACAAACTTGAAAAATAATAATTAAATTTGGAAAACACAAAAATTATTTTTCGATGAACAGGTTTTGTAAAACTTGACCCTTTATTTTAGAGGGTCAAATGGGTCAAACTCGTGGATAGTTGGTTACCTTCTTTGGATTTACGGATCAGGCTGCAAATTTTATCTTTTCTGTCTTTTTTTCTTTTAACAAACATTTTTCATTTTCTTTGTCTTCCTATAATCTTCTTCAATTTAAAGCACTATTTTTTCAAGGATTCTGTCATTGTTGGTTTTGATCTACTCATATGTGCGATTTTTCTACTTATTATTTTATCAAGTAGACTCTATAAATAATTGCAAGCCCACTTAAGCATCAAGTGCTTCAACTAACCCTATTGCAAGACATGTTTCAGCGAATGTTAGATATAAAACTCCATTTACTGTCCTGATATCTTTGAAGCATATTGGTCCTCTCTGAACACTTAGCAACATTTTAAGGTAGAAAAGCTCACCATATTCTTTTAAAACTTATGGAAGGCTGATATCATAGGAAATATTGTTTTTCTGTTGCGCAGACGAGGGAGCCACTTCTTAATTTTTTGATGCCAAACCATTTGTTTGGAAATTTAGTGTAGCGATAAAACTTTTATTCATTACACTCATGATTGGAGTCTATCCAACCTTCAAGTTTCATTTTAGCCATATTCAATTTAGGTAAATGTATTGGTAGAATTGTCATGCCTGCACTTTGAGTTAAGGTTTGATTTGTTTAATATTCATGTATATTGTGATGTTTTATTATATAAGGACCCAAGTATTTAACTTTTTTATTACATAGTTATTTGGGATGAACATGATTTTATATGGATCTTTTTGGTTTTTATTAAATGGACATTAAACTTTTTAAATAATGTAGAGGATTCTAATTTTGGTTTTTTATTAGATGCACGTTGATTTTTTATGATATCTAACGTTTGTTAAGAAAAATAACAATAGAAGATTATTAAATTGAAATCTTATATTTATATTTGTTATTATTTTTAAACTAAACTAATTTTAAATTTTGAATGTTCGACATAAGATCATAATAATATCTTATTTTGTTATTATAATTTTGCCACCTGAATTATGTGAAAACATATGTGCACGTAAATGGAACACTGCATTTACAAAAAAATATGAATTATTAGGTAAACGATTTGATCAATGTGATTTTGTTATTATAAATTTGCCTACTGTGAAGTATATGAAAACATATGTGCATGTATTCCATATGAATATAGTATTATAATATATATGTAAATATGGAAAATCACAATGGTCCACGACAGACCTATAGTAAATTTTATAGGTATATAATATAGTATTATTCATAGTATTATAATATATATATATATATGTATTAAAATCATCACGTTCAGTCCATAATTCATCTACTATTACCCATATAGATGAATAATAATATCAGACCATTCGTAGTGCATTCCAGATTTAGTTATTAATACATTAAATTTTATCATCTAATTTATTTTTTTATTTATAGAAATATCACAAAAAATAAATATTTTGCCATGTCATCAACTACATGTGTTAGTAAATGACATGTCACAATTACATCATCATTTCCATGTCACATTTAATTAGAGTAGACAAATGATTTTAACCAATCAGATTAAAACAAATCAGTATTTTTCATTAAACTACATTCTCAATTAATAGGTAGATGATCGTTTCTGTTGTATTTAAAATATTAAAAAATTGAAAAAATGGTAAAGAAGCCGAGCCAACTAACCTTCGTGAATTCGCCGGAAGCGAATATATTATTGGTTTGGAACATTTATTAAGGTTAGTTTTTTTGAAAATATATTATTGGAGACAAATTATTAATTTGAGATATTTACTAAGGTTAATTTCTTTCGAAAATATATTATTGGGCTTCTACTAAGCCCACATAGGCGATTAATTATGATTCGCGCGAATTGTTAGAAGAAAAAAAAAAGGAAAGAATTAAAGCCTATATATATATATATATATATATATGATTACAAACAGCTGACACAGATAGTTATTTTCTTAACGGTGGCAAAACCCTAACATCTTTCTTCTTCGTTCTCTCGTCTCTGTTTGTGAATTCTCTTCTACTTTCGTTCTCTCTGTTTGTGAATTCGTTTCGTTCCATCGAAAAAAAAACAAAAAAATGGTGGGTGGCACGAAAACGAAGTGTGCGATGAAGAAGATAGTGAAGAAAGGTTCGCGAGCGGTTGCTTTTTCGAAACGCCGTAAGGGTCTTTACAGCAAAGCATCGGAGCTTTGTCTTCTGTCCTCCGGGGCACAAGTTGCGATCTTAGCAACGCCGGTTTCTTCCAATTCAAACGCTTCCTTCTACAGCTTTGGTCACTCGTCGGTCGACAGCGTCGTCTCGGCTTTCCTCGCGAATCAGCGTCCTCGGGAGAATCCGAATCTATGGTGGGAAGACGAGAGTCTTGCCGAATCGGAGAGTACGAAAGAGTTGACCGACGCCATCGACGCGATTTCGAGTATGTTGGAAGATCTGGAAAACCATCAAGCGCTTCACAGAGACCAAACCCTAGTTCTTCCATCGGAGCCTGATCGCGAAATCCTAACTTCTCCAATGGCTGATGATATCGTTGGCTTGGATCAAGAGATTGATCAATTCATAGATTTCGAGACGGCTTTCGATGATTGGCTTTTGGAGACAGGATCAAGTTAATCGAGCACACATAGCTTCTGACTCTGTTCTTATCGATGTATCGATGTTATTACTAGTAAAATCTACTAATCATCATATTTTGTCTAGGTATTGGTTATGTTTGATAATTTTTTTTTGTTTTTTAATCGATATATGTAAAGAAAGGGATTCTGTTTGACATATGATCAATTTTGAGTTCTGTTTTGCATTTGTAGTTTCAAATATAAAATCATGTCCTTTTTAATGAATCGCATATCATGTAATATATCTCTTGTAACTTCAATTGTATCATCTATGTTTTTGATCGCATATGTAACTACTAATTAAAATTGTTAATTTCATTATTATGCAATGAATATTGTCAAAAGAATGTCCACAAGGCATTTGAAATGCTAATTGATGTTTTTGTGAGGAATAATCCTTTCTAAGTCTAATATAACAATATGACCGAGAAAAAGCAGTTTGGGTCATCAGAAATCATATATGGTAGAAAAGCAAAGCTTCATTTCTATGCTTTTATAATTGGATAATTTTGTGTGTAAAATGTTCCAGAAATTATTCTTCCATCCTTTACAGTTTCTCTTACAGATTTAAGAAAAGAAAAAAAACCAAATATGTTACAAAAAGAAGAAGAAATGAAAAAGAGAAGCAAATAGAAGTTTTATAAACCACATTACATAAGTCATGTGGTTAAAAACTTCCATCGCCTCCATTGCCTCTCTGCCAAATGATCAAAATCAACAGCAAACGGAAAATATATGAAAAAAAATCAACAATTTTTTGTATTTCTCTATGTCTTTTGTTTTAATTCACCACCTTCAGCGTCTTCCATATTGATCCGACCTGAATAATATATATTCACATTTCAGAAACTAATCTGCGTTTCACAAAACAAATGGGACACTGGCGGTTTAAGATTTGGTTACATACCTAACAATGATATCAACGACGGGGCTTCCCCTGATCCATTTGATTTCATGTCCGTACCTACGTTTCAATGTCACGGCTAAAACTTAGATTTATATCAACTATTTGACCTTCTCTCAATAAGAGAGTTTAGCTTATAATAAGCAAACACATAAGCAGTCGAGAAAAGAGAATAATGAAGAGTCACCTGTATTTTCCATTGATCTTGTAATGTCTGACTTTTTAAATGTAAATCCTATGAAGTTGGTGTCCTTGGACGTCAACATCTGCTCAACAATTCCAAAAGTTACTATCCAAGCTCGGTACCAGTTTCTCTTTTTGACTTTGTCATGTTTGATACTCTTTTAACCATAACAAAACAATATCTGCTAGCTTTATCATGTCAACAAATATTATATTATAGGGAATCAAGTGGAGTGTGTCACCTTTCTCCAAGGACCAACATGTGGTGCTTCGGATGGCGCTCCTTCAACCTAAAAGATATCAAAAACACTCTGTAAGTTTGAGCTTGATGATTTTCTACACAAGTTTACAGGTTCACTAACTAATCGGTTTTCGTTTCAACAACAGCCTCATTCCTGAAAACATGTCATGACAAGCATCGTTTTTCCAGATTCTATATAACTTACTTCAGGGAACTTCTCAAAATTTTGTGTGTCAAGTTCTCCATCAACAGTTGGTCTATAAGCTGCCTCCATTTCATACAGCTTCTCCCATTCGGTGCCGTTGAACCATGGATGCGACTGAAACATGAACAACACCGATTTCAATGATGTCAAAGCCGAAAAGTGAGGATAACGAAATGCATCTTTATTCTTTAAACATCCTTTTCAGATCCCTCACCTTTATCTCCTCTACGCCTCTGGTTCCCAACCTTGAATCAACATCACATAGCAAACGACAAATCAAGTCCCTCGCTTCATCTGATATTTTAGGTTCTTCAGGGAATTTCAAGCATACCCTCCAATTAATTATCTGAGAATAGAAGTGCGAGTCTTTATAAGCAAGTATGAATATGAATACAAGTCTTTATAAGCAAGCTTCAAGTAACCAGCTATATAGACCTACCTTGCGGCATGTTATACGCGGGTCATCAGAACAGAATGGAGGATACCCAACTAACATCTCATACAAAATTGCGCCGAGAGACCACCAGTCACATTCCATTCCATATCCTTTCTTAAGTAATACTTCTGGAGCCATGTAATCAAGAGTCCCAACGGTTGAATAAGCCTATAAAATTGAAAGATAAACACATATTGGATGTGGTAATTGATCTTTGTAGTCTAGGAAAAATGAGTAACCCAATTAGAGAACAAGCGTGAATACCAATGCGCGGCGATTGCGCTTCCACTGCAACAACTGCTCTTTAGGCATTTGCCATGAGTCTGCTTTTCCTGACTGGCTCTCTGCCTCCTGAGACAGCATTTCTTCATCTTCTAATAACAGTGAAGAATACTTATCATCAAGTGGCTTACACAAGCCAAAATCTGAAAGCTTCAAATGCCCACTTTTGTCTAGTATCAAATTATCAGGTTTGATGTCCCTGCAGGTAAGAAGAAACAAACTCAAATCCAGAACCAGAGATATTTCCAACAACTTGAATCTTTCGCTAGGCATGGTATAAAAACGATGTCAAAACGCTTTATATACCTGTGAACATAGTTGTGTTGATGGATTGAATGAATAGCAAGAATGCTCTCCGCAATATAAAAGCGGGCAACATCTTCAGAAAGAATGTCTTCTCTCATCAGTAAAGTCATGATGTCACCGCCAGGTAAATACTCCATGATAAGATACAAACACTCGGAATCTTGAAAAGAGTAGAAAAGCTTTACAATGTAACGGCTGTCAACCTCTGCAAGTAAGTTCCTCTCGGACCTTACATGCTCAACCTATAGAGCCAAAAAAGGAATAAAAACAAACTTCCAAAACTGAAATGAAGCAGTCCAATGATAAGAAGGAAGTTTCTCTCAAAGCTCCTATCATGAATCGATTTTGCATTTGCCACTACTAATACTACTCTAAAACATCTTACAGTTCCCTTTTTCACTTGACTATGGTGAATGAATCAAAGTTGAATCAAAAAACACATACGTACCTGTCCACGGCTAAGCATCTCAGTTTTCTTCAATTTCTTCATAGCATAAACCTCTCCTGTAGATCTCAAACGGCATAATCTAACCTGAGATGTATACACAGTCCAAAACCAGTTCAGAGAGAGAGAGAATTAATTCCTTAATAACATGTCAAATCACAGTCAATTTCTACACTGATCTTCATGTACCTCACCAAAGGCACCTTTTCCGATGACGGTCAACAGCTCAAAGTCGTCGATCCCAATCTTACGTCTCTGAAGCCTCATGTACTCAGTTTCACGACGAGCCAGATTCCTCATCATCTCGTCTTGTTCTTCAACAGGTAGCTGAGCTTCTTGCACTTTCCGCTGAAACTCTCTGCGTCTGTTATGAAAATTCACAGAGGAGATTAATAATAATATAGATCAATCTCGTCTTCCCAAAAGCTTAAATCTGAATCAGAGATTGAAATCCTCAAGTCAAACACAAGTCAACACAATCCAAAACCCGTTTGTGATCAACAAAGAAGGAAACTCATAATCACAAGAAGAAAAAAATAAAGATTAATCAGATTTCGTCAATTTTCTCTGAACCTCTCCATTCGTTCGTGGAGACCTTGCAAGTAATTTTTGTAGTGATTCTCGATAAACTGCTTAGCAGCGGCAGCTTTCTGACGAGTCACCGGCGACGAAACGGCCACATCCGTCTCCAATTCGAATCCGCGACCAGGCTTGGTGTTTAGACCACCGACGCGAACGGTTCCATCGGCTCCTCCCTCCATTAAAGCAGATCGCAGAGAGAGAGAGACAGAGAGGGAGAGGAATGGGTTCGAGAAACAGATAAGGAGTGAGATTTAGAGAGCCATGGAGGGGAAATGAGTAATGAAGGAGAGATCTAAGGAGAAGCTTAGCTGGTGAAATCTGAAAGAGGAAGAACGTGGACTATTTTAGGAGAGATGAACTTGCAGAGCTGTCTCCTGTATGGTTTTTGGATTAATTAATTAATAAATAATTAATAATCATTTTAGTTTTTGTTTTAGAGAGTATAATTGGGATAATTTGAAGCAATTTTATTATCGTCTGACTTTGTGTCAGCGGAAGGTTTGGATCTTCCTGAGAGCTCAGAACGATCAAAAATATATAGTTTTTCTAAATGTTTTGGCTCAATAAAAAAAACTCATAAGAAGCAGTCAAGTAGAGAATTTTTTTACTGAAGAGTGTGTATCAAGGGGGCATTACAATTACTATTATGAAATTCATCAGTCTACTTTTTCAATTTTTATAGTTTGTCAATTTGTGAGTATTATTGTGCATCCCATAAGTAACATGACGATCATGTTTTTGTTTATTAGGCAAACTTATCTTTATATTAATCGGAATACAACACACACAACACAAGCAAATGAATAGGTTCCACTTGTTACATAATTGAAAAAAATATCATAGATAATATTCTTAAAGATACTTTGAAACTTCATTTACTGAATTTCGGAATTATCGATTTAAAAGAATTTAAGTAGTAGATTAGTATCAGAATAAATGGGCATGCATATATGCAGGAGGGTTTATCAAAAGTATATGGGAAAGTTATATGATCCAATGATGTTTGAAACGAAGTGGTTTGCGATTTCAAAGATTACATGTTTTGGTTCTTAATTTCCTGATAATTCAAAAAGAAAAAGATATGTGGAGACCATGAGCAATCTCTCAGTAAAGATCATGCAAACTTCTGACATTGAGTCTTGAAACCGAAAGGAGCCATTTTAGAGAATTTTTCCAAGACAAATCAATCGATATTTTAATCAGATTGAGTAACAATCCAAAATGCAAGCAACCGGATGTATCATATTTTTTAATTAGGAACGAGTTGTTCATCTGAGACAATACAACAACATCTTTAAATTATTAGTACGCATCATATTTGATCACTACGCATATGTACATATTTCTATTTGCTAAAGTGATCGCTCAAATAAGGGTCCTTCCGGCACCGGATCCAATGGCTGCTGAAGATCGTGTCCTTTGGTGTCATTCGACCACTTAGCTTAGGGATGGTTTTAAATAGCTGTGTCCCATTTTCAACAGAAACATATGACAACAATCAGCCTTCAAAGAAGTTTTTTTTTTCTTCTTGTTCATCAAAAATCAAAAAGAAAGTTAAATGTAAGCATTTCAAATAAAATGTCTATTCTAATCAATTTAGTCTGTTTCAACTTAAAGAAAAACATGTATTTATGTCTCAGCCATAAAAACCTTAATGGTAGTAAATTAAAGAAAGCCATCGTGATATGCTGAAAATTTATTATTCTGTAAGTTAATCAGTTTAGCAGAAATTTAATGATTAAAATATACTATTTCTTATTAATTTAAAAACATTTTTAAATACTAACCTAATTTTGTAAATAATTATATGTTGCCATTTTGTTGTTGTGTCACCATCATAGAGTTTCTCAGAATTTTTATGAAAAAGTTTTTGTTAGTAGATTAATTATATGTTTTGCTATTCACATTAAATATACTAAACAATAATTTATATCATTTATTTACACATAATTCAGCATCTAATTTAGTAAGATATTCTCTTTATTTCTAGTTTTACCAAAAATATACCATATTAATTATTATATTTTCTGCCAAATTTTTTTTATCTTATTTTTATTTAAACTCATTTTTTATAAAATAAATAAATGATCACACCATCTACATATTAAAACATATAAAGATTTGTTTGTACATGTATTATAATTTGAATTTTTAAAAATGAGTATAGATTACTCAAATTATTAATAAATAAAAATACGTTTTAAAAGTTTACATTAAAAATGAAGATATGTAGATCAATAGATAGTTCATAACTCATTATAAAAAAAACAGAAAATAAAAAAAATTGTTAAGGCAGGAATTCAGGAAACTTGATTTATTCAAAATTCATATTAATGTATTTTTGGTTTAATATTTTTTTTAATACAACTATATAAATTAACCAAATAATGTAAATACTTAAACTCTATGAATATAAAAAACAGTTAAATATGTTGAAAGAATATAATTGCATGAATATTTTAATTTTCTTAAGAAAGTGAAATATTATAAATTTTTAATTTATACAAACAAAATATTTTGGTTTAAAAGTTTATTTTTTGTTAAGATATTATATAATAATTTAATCAACTTTTGATATTAAAAATATTTTTATTAGATCAAAAAGCTAATAGTTTATAAAAATACTGACTCAGTTATATATAGTTGTGGATAATTTATTAACAATATTAATCTTAAGAATATTTCATCTATTTTATATTATTCCTATGTATATTTAATATTTTAAAAAAAAAATTTACAAAAATTTGCTTTTCTTAAAAGTTGATATTTTTATGACTTGTCTTTGCGGGTTAACCTAATTATACAATTATATTTGTATAAATTAATATTAAAATTGATTATAAAATTGTATAATCAATTTTCATTTTTATAATTTAATTAGAAAAAAACTTATTGTTATCATAACGCTTTAAGAATTAACTAATAATTTAATCAAAATTCATCTATTAATTCTCTAATTTTGTCTCTAAAATGCATCTATTAAATTTGATTTATGATAACTAACAGCTAATTTGATCAATGAAAAATTATTAATTTAGACGTTTTTAAAAAATTTGTATAAAAAAATAATATTTAATATTTAATGTAATATAATTGTGAGTTTATTGTGAATTTATTAATAATTTGAATCAAAATGCAATCTATTGCGTTTGATATATGTTAAAAATATAATTAATTTAATTTATGATGCAGTCACTAATTTAATTTAGATCTAAGTAATATTACCGATTACTAATCTATTAGTTAAAATGTGTTTTGTTAATTTAGATATACACATTTAAATATTTCGAGTATAAACGGTAGTGATATTTTTTCTAATAAGTCATCAATGTTTAAAATTTATTTAGGGTAAAAAAAATACAATATGAGCATACTTATATTTTTTTAACTTACAATAAATATTTTTATTAAAGCTAATTATAATAAATTTTATATGTCACAATATTTTTTATATAATCAATAATATCAAAAAGACATCAAAACTCTACCCATATTTATTATATCTTAGATTTAATATTCTTTTTATTATGTATACACTATTCTTCTAGCCTACAATTTATCATATATTCAATTATTTATATGCAAAATGAAATCAAGTTTATTGGATATGAAAACCTTGGCTAGATGAGTATTGGTGGTTTAGTGACATTAATATTGTGATGTATGTTAAAGTTATGAAAAATTGAATGGAAACCAGATAATTTCTAAGTTTCACATAAAAAATATGATTTATATTTTTGTTTTGTATTTTTTCTTTTATCATATAATATGTATTATTTTTTACTAGGTGTTTTATACAGAATTCTAACTTACAAAGATGTTCTTGAGTTCTATTTAATCCTCAAATTCTGTAAGTACAATTATGCAGACCGATGTAATTATAAATGATTACAAAGCATTGTCCTATGATTATTTACATGTACCAAAATTATTACTAATGCATAGTATATTTTATAAATAGAAACGCTTCCGAACATTCAAACGGTCCTTAAGACTAATCTATGCTTTTATATGCAGATTTATTAGTAAAATTCTATTAACTTTTGGGCAATATTTTTTGATTAAATATTTTTGAAGTCAAGAACTATTCTTTTGTTTTTTACAAAGAGAGTTATTTACATTAATTTATGGTTATAGTTATTATTTTCCAAATTCAAAATATAAAACCGTGTCTTTTATTAATTTATTCGATATAGTAGATAAGTAACAAAACATTTAACCAATAATATTTTATTATTATGTAAGAATCAAAAATAATTAAATATATACATAAATATCATATATCTAAGGTTTTGGGCATTGGTGAAAATGCTGAATTATATCGTTAATTATGTGATATAGAAAATCTAAATGATGACTTCGTATTTTTATCCAGCCATATGCGCTATGCATGATATTTAATTTTTAAATTAATTTATGTAACAACTAAATTATCTTACTTCATAAAAAAATAAAAAACAAATTATATTGTCAATGTTATAGTATAATCTTATATAAATCTCATATAAATTTAATTATATTATAAAATTTTAAATTATAATAAATTTAAGTAAATAACAATTATTTTATCCTGCACATGGTGCAGATTATTACCTAGTAATAGGATAGAATGCAAAAGATGTTAGATGTTTCAAATAGAAAATGAACTATTTGTGAAAAAAATTAGATGTTTTATATTTTGTATATATAATATTTATTTATCTTACCATTTTTAATTTGGAAGATTTTTTTTTCTAATTTTAATTTTTAATGTGTGAAAAATACAATATATTTAAAATATCTTTACAAGTTTTGAAAAGTTTTGGTATAATTTAAGATAGTTTTATCTATATCATTCATTGCTTAATAGTTTAGCTTACATTAAACACAGATTCCCTTCTAGTCTTAACATTATTGGATTACACGTCTATATATAATTCACAAGTTACAGCAACATATAAGCAAAAGCAATAAAAGAGAGTTATTTACATTGATTTATGGTTATAGTTATTGTCTTTAATTAAAATCATAAAACTATGTCTTTTTTTATTAGATATAATAGTTAAGTAACAAAATCATTTAATCAATAATATTTAATTATTATCTAAGAATAAAATTAATAAAATATATACATAAATATTGTATATCTAAAATTTGGGTATTGATGGAAATGTTAAATTATATCGTTAATCATGTGATA